CCGTCGAACACAACAGGGCCCACAGGTCATCCCAGGAAAATGTAAAGCAGGTACTCTCCGAGTACTACTTTCCAAAAATGGCCAAATTAGCTACTGAAATCGTAGCGAATTGCAGGACTTGCGAGAGAGCCAAGTACGACAGGCAACCAAAGAAACAGGAGCTCGGCGAGACACCGATCCCCTCTCATGTAGAAGAAATGTTACATATTGACATTTTCTCTACAGATAAAAAATACTTCCTTACTTGCATCGACAAGTTTTCGAAGTTTGCCGTCGTGCAACATGTCCACTCAAGGACAATTGAAGACCTCAAACCGGCTCTACTACAAATTATGAATTTCTTCCCAAGAGCTAGGGTAGTCTACTGTGATAATGAACCATCATTAAATTCACACACTATCTCAGCTATGCTCGACAGCCATTTTGGCGTTAGCATTGCAAATGCACCGCCCCTCCACAGCTTCTCAAACGGGCAAGTAGAGCGCTTTCATAGTACCCTTGTGGAACTTGCGCGATGCCTGAAAATCGACAAGGGAATGACGGACACTGTAGAGATAATTTTATTGGCCACCGCCAAATACAATAAGTCGATACACTCGGTTGTTAACAAACGACCAGCCGACATTGTGCAAACACACCCAGACGAGCCGCAGATGGAAGTCCAAAATAAAAAATTACAAGCCCAAAACACTCTCAGGACTAGGGAAAATGCCTCCCGGCAAAACAGAGTATTCGAGGTCGGCGAAAAAGTCTTGGTCAAAACAAACCGAAGATTTGGCAGTAAACTCACACCGCTGTGTGAGGAGAAAGCCGTTGAAGCGGACCTGGGGACCACGGTCCTCATTAAGGGGAGGGTGGTCCACAAAGCTAACCTAAAATAGGATTAATTTTTTACATTTTTAGCCACTTGACAACCGTTTACTTATTTTTTTTTGTTAAGTTAGAATAACATTCCTGAAAAAAATTATTACATCAAGGATCATTCCACAGGTGCGGACTTATCATCCTACTATCCCTGTCTATGGTGTCGGCACACATCGTCGACTATTCGCGAGCTAAATACATTCCCATCATTGATGGTGAGGTATTAGTATGGGAAGAATTTGCATACGCGACTCACACTGCAATCCTTTCGGCTTGAGGAACCCACTAATACCCCCATAAGGGATCTCTTGTCCGTAGCGTCCGTTAAAATATTACAATCTGCCAATTCCTTGCATTTCATAGTTAAGTTTCCAAAGGTAAAGTTCGCCTGTAAGAAAGTCACAATATTACCCGTCACTCACCATAATATCATGCTGCGGATACCGAACAATGTTGTGGCAACATGTGGTGGAGAAGTCCACACCGTTAAGGATTGTACCGTGTCGCCAGGAGCTACGTTCTGCCAAATATCATCAGGCAGCTCTTGCGCTAGAGAACTCTATGCAGGTGTTTTGGCGCACTGCGAGACCCAACCAACCGACTTACAACCCATAACTCGAGTCGATGAAGGAATAATCATTGTCAACGACCAAACAGCTAAAGTCCGGGTAGACAATGGTACTGAGGTCTGGCTGCACGGTACTCACCTTGTCGCAATGGACCAGCCGCTGACTTTTGTTGTTATTTAGCTTCGGCCGAAACTGCTGATCCAGCATTTAGCCCGGATGCTCGTGCACAGACGGCAAGCACTGCATATTTGCGTGGCCGCTGTGAGTCTTTTGTTAGCTTTAAGTTTCTTTTCAATTCAGTTTATATCAAAGCCTTGAATAAAGAGCACCAGCTCTGATAATATTTAACTCCGGCTACCGCCGTTAAAGATCTTATTATTTCACACTGACTGAGTCTCTAGGCCAGCAGGTAAAGAAGGGCAGTCGCCCTTCCACCCTATTCTTCCTAATTTATCGACGGATGACAACAGCCAACCGGCTACCTTCACGGAGACGGCTGCGAGGGAACCTCTACGGAGTAAAATACTAATTTATACGAGCGAGTGTATATATGATTCATAGAGATGGAAACGTTTTCTTCTGTTACATACTTTTTAAAAAATGACAGAATAATCTACGAGTTATGGGTATAGATTACATTCTTTTGATAGGCCAACAATAAAATAAGAATATTGGCTTGTTCAATTGTTTTGGAATTTTTTTTTTTTAATTCGCAATTAAACAATAAAGTTGTTTCTCGCTTTTTGCGAATTCACCCATCTTCGCCAACCGTTTAAGGCTCGACGAATATTTATAAATTGAAAAAAACAATTAGCTTAAATTAAATTCGATCGTATTTACAACATGTGAGAGAGAAAAGAAAACTTACTTCGAGCGTAGAGCTTAGGTAAACGGCAGCATTGAAAACTTTAAGCTGATTTTTCTCCCCTTTAAATTTTTTGCGATTTTTCTTTCTTATGAGCACAATTCACAAAAAACAATGAAACATTTCGGAGTGAATTAAAATTTATTCTTTTTTTTTTTAATTCCTTATGTTTGTACAAAAAGTCATATTTATTATTTTTCAAGAGGGTAGGAAATCTTCTTTCGGGGGTCTTAGGTTCAAATAGAAGATAAACTTATAATATAAACAAATATTTTTTGTTTTTTGATTTAAGACTCGTATTACGAGCTCTAGCCTGTCCATAAACGGGAAACTCAAAGGTCGAGACGCAAAAATTTGTCTAACATTTTTTTAACATTAGCACCAATTTTTCCTCAAGTGCACATCCTAACCTTTAAAATTCTTTTTAGTTTTTTAAATACGATTAAAACTGTAAAGTTTCTGCAAATAACAATTTTATTTTGGACCGGCATTACGTCGTTGAAACTGTGTAGGCGTCTGGTGTGACCGGCCGGGACAGATCCAGGGGCAGGAGGCTATGGCTGCGAAAGGAGTATGCTTTGAGAGCCCAATGCCTGTTCACCCTAGTCTGGGAACGGACCGAAGCCAAAGACAACGTAGGCGTTCCGGAGCAGCGAGAAACGAGGCAGCGTAGAGCGACGATGGAGCAACCACAACTCATCGAACAAGGTGTTAAGACACCAATTTGTCATTATTAGGCCCGGGCCGAGGGCCATGTCGGCGAATAAAGATCATAGAACATACATCCTAACATTATAGTAATAGTAGTAGTAATAGAATATTCCGAAAAACTTAACAAATGTATTAAATTTATGCAGTAATAGAAAATAAAAATAAAGACTTAACACACCTTGCAAGAAAAATAAAATAATATTTCATTGGACACCTGAGTGCTAAAACGCCTTTGAACCTCTTAAAAATGAATTAATTCAACACACATTTTTACTATACCCGGAGTACCAGACGCTAGTAAACAACCGTGCGGAACAGACTTAACACAATTACATGATGGTGTCGATCTCCTGCTAACATAGGCCTTAAGAACAACATAAATCATTTTAGACCGAATGTATACGGAAAATCCATCTCTATAAAAACAGACCATATTTATTTATTTATTTTTTTTTTACGTTTTTTTTATTTTGTTGTATCAAAATTTTAAATTGATCAGGGTAAAACTTTCAAAGTTATGGGCAGTTTAACGTAGGTAAGTTAGCTCGTTTTGTATAACTTTAAAACGCAAAGTCGGTGTATACAAAATCTTCTAGACAAATCGCTTTGAAATTTTGCACAGTATTTCTTTACCAAATTCTTCAGGAAACGCAACAAATAGCTCTGAGGTGTTTGACGTGCCTTGAAAAATCGAAACAAAATTTAACAAAATTAAAAACTCGACAGCGTTACCTAGAAAATTTTGATTTTTTTTAATTCAGATGGTTCTGTGACCATTTACGATGTACACCACAAACCACCTTTTTTTCGAGGTGCCGTCGGAGATTGACTCACTTTTTAATAATTTTGGATGTAAATTTTTACACATATTGCTTAAATGTTGTAATATCTCATGGGGAAAAAAATTAAACTAACTCTATGCGTATCGCCAATAAATTCGTAAAAAATATTTTGGGGTGAATTTACTTGATCCTCTACAAGGAGACATACAGGCATAACTAAAACCCATAACTAAAAGGCAGTATTATTGGAAAAATATGACACGTGACGCTTGAAGAAATTTCCTAAATTCTAACAAGCAAACATACTAATACTCCCGTGAATATAACAGAAACACGTTTAAAGTCATTTTATGGAGAACAGGAAAGGAATATGCAATTAGTTTAATTTGTAACTTAACATTTTCTTTTCGTATGATAGCACAGATTGTGATGTGTAGCTAACAAACTTTACCTAAAAATAGAAGATAAGGTATTACTTAAAAACAAAATAGACCATAAATTGTATAATCAATAATTTGGACCCTATGAAGTAATCAAGAACCAAACCTAACAACAATATCAAAATAAGATATACAAAAAATAAACAACATATAGTACATAAAGAAAGGCTAAAATTTTTAATTCATAAATATTTTAAATATAAGCCTTAACATATATATTCTATATTCTACTAATTTTTGGTATGGCCATACATAGAATAAATCATTATATTTAAAACAACATTTTTAATTAATACTTTTTATTTTAATTTTGAAATATATTATGAAACATTTTACCAACAAATAATAAATTTTAAATAATTCAAAAAAAAATAAAAAAATATTTAAAAGAGTAACATAAAAAAATATCTATGGAATATATATTACAAAATAATTTAGTGTTATAACATTTTTTTTGAAGAGGAGAGAGATGTAGTACGCCCATTCACCTGATGAATACTGTACCGAAACATCATACAAAAGATAAACAATTTATTTACATATAAGTGGTCAAACATTTCAAGAGTTCAAAGTCTTAAAAACTTCCGTCTTTTGAATATAAATGCTATAGTACTAAATATACTACTTTAAAGTAGGCCGCTTTAAATTTGTTGATCCGAATGGAAATATATATAAAGAGGTTATAAAACAAGCGTAACAAATAAAGGGTTTTTTGTGGGATCTGCACGTTTTTGGGACACCATTTTGTAGATAAAATATAAAAACTTACCAACAACTTTTTGCGGTGTAAAAGTATGATCCCGATAGAGAAAGAATTGGTTGTCCAAAATAAGAACTAATTGTGGAACTTCATCTGCACCAGTTTTACGAAAAATTGACTGTTCATGTGCAGCATTGACTGTTGCAAAGGTAATACCTTAAATGAAACGGTTAGCTTTTTTGTAGAAGTTTTTCAAAATTTAATTAATACCTAAAGGTTCCAGTAAATCTTTTATTTTTTCGAAGATGCCTATTATTCGAGTGCACTTAAAGCACCAATCGTTGTAAAACATTACAACATGCACCTTTTTTGCGCTGTTTGGTAAAATGGTCTTCTCGAAATAATTAGCTGTAACGGATAGCTTATGGTAAAGTACAATGTCCTGGTCAATAACAAATCTGTTTCCAAAAGGATCCTCATTTTGATCAAGGGAAAATCGATTATATCCACTATAATCATATTTTTTTTGAAGGTAATGAGTATCTTCATCCGTTACTCCATGCCGGTCAAAAATTTGTCGACGATCAGTGTCACTTAAAAGTTCATAGGCTAGTTTTATTTGAATAAACTTTTCGGTATCGCCGTCACTTTGTATTTTATCAGGATGCCTGAAAAAAAAGTGACCAAGTGAGATGTTTGATTAATTTAAATATGATAGATAATTGCCCAGCTTTTAAAATAATTGTTAAAAATTACAAAAATTATTTATATGCCAACCATTTTAAAACTAATAATTGGATTCTAACTATTTTCGAACCAAATTTTAGAAAGTCCGGACCCAAAAACTGAATCCACTTTTTCTTAGGAAATTTTTCGCGCTGAATCCAAATCTGGTGCCAAAATTGCTCAGATATTCTAACCTAAAAGTGTGAAAATTGACGTTTTTGGCATATTTCAACAAGCTATATATTCGATAATACATTTGTTTGAACATAAGCACCAATTTTACCTCAAAGTGCACATCCTAACCTTTAAAATTATTTTTTAGTTTTTTAAATAAGATTAGAACTGTGAAGTTTCTGTAAATAACTTTTCTTATTTTGGACCGGCAATAAGTCGTTGCGAGTAGACGTGTTTTCGTTGAGCCGCATAGTGACCACAAATTGACTTCAAGAAAGTAAATAATAGGAAAGTAATCACACTGGTACAAAAAAGCCAATAATAAAAAAAAAAACACAAATCAAAGACAAACTTTCACTAAGTATGAGCCATAATCGGGCCCAGAGTCAACGCAACAGGAGCGTCGGCTCTTTAAAGCTTTGAAAAGGAATGAAGCGTTCCCATCTACAAGCTCCAGTACTTAGTTAACCGCAGATTCTCTGTTGAAGAACTGCAAAAGCGCAATGGCGCGGTACAATGCACTAATATCCAAGAATTTTGACACACCAAATCTTACTCCACGCTTCGCCCTGTTTGTGTAGCTTGTGGCGGAACGCAAATTAAACAAAGAGGACCCCCAGTAACAAGAATGTGGTAACTGTGGAGGTAACCACACGGCAAACTTTAGAAATTACAAGGAGCTGAAAAGCCGGATCCAACACAAAGTGTCTACATCTCGGTCCCAGACAGCACCATTGATACCTTTGAAATCTAACATTGACGTATTCTTTTCAACTGCAGGGAGTTCTTAATTGGGTAGCTCAAACATTTCCAAAAACGTAAGTTTGCAAGCGTACTAAAATCTAACCTTGACGGCACTACCTTCAATGATGAAATATCATCTGCTGCCTCCTACCAACCCATTGAGTAGACAGGTACCAAAATGGAAATATTAATATGTAACCTGCAACAAAGTATGCAAGAGTTCTATAAAAGGTATTTTATTTAAACACATATATATATACATATATTTAAAGGCTCCATTTAAGAAAGGCCCAAAAGAAGTACGACGTCGCTAGTGGACATAAATTTATTCAATATATATATTATATATATATTATATATCTAACAATGTACTTTAAAGTTAAGGCCGCTCAACTGCGCTGCCGGGAAAGCCGGCAACAAAGCGGCAGCATTTATGTATTTCTTATAAAACAAGAAAGGAAAGCTAACTTCGGGCGGAGCCGAAGTTGATTTACCCTTGCAGAATACTCTGTAAATTATTTTCTCCAAAATTATTCATATTCCCAACTTTAAAAACACCAAATTTATGGCATTTCCAATCGTTCAGTTATATGCCAGCTATAGGATATAGTCGGCCGATCCGTATGAAATTTGATAGTTCGGATTGATTGGGCAGAAATAAAACTAATAGAAAATCCCAACTTCCTAACTTTACAAACACCAGTTATATGGCGGGTACAGGATATAGTCGGGCGATCCTCATGACATTTGGTAGGTCGGATTGATTTGCCAAATATAAAACCCATAGAAAATGCCAACTTCCTAACTTTACAAACACCAAAGTTATGGCATTTCCGATCAATCAGTTATATGGCAGCTATAGGATATAGTCGGCCGATCCCGGCCGTTCCGACTTATATACTGCGTGCAAAGGAAAGAAGGATGTGTGCAAAGTTTCAATTCGATAGCTTTAAAACTGAGAGACTAGTTTGCGTAGACAGACAGACGGACAGACGGACATGGCTATATCAACTCAGGAGGTGATCCTGATCAAGAATATATATACTTTATAGGGTCGGAGATGTGTCCTTCTCTGCGTTGCACACTTTTGACCAAAATTATAATACCCTCTGCAAGGGTATAAAAATATGCTTCTCGCTGCTGACAGCGGCTAGCTCGAGAGAGGTTTAATGTACTGGTAGTGTAGATGCAGTCAAGGCATGGGAATCTGCTGACTTATGCACTTACGGTCTTCAAGGCAGAGCTCAACTGATCGTGTTACGGTAACGAACTCATTTGCTTGGTCGGCTCGCTACGAGATTCGTGCGGCTAGCTCAGAAGATTGTGTCCCACCAAATTTATATGACGTGACTGCCCACAAATCAATGAGAAAACACAGGATGCAAATGGGAACCGTTGTTTTATTCTTGTGCTAGTTAGTACAGCGGGTGGGTTGTGGGTTTGGGCTGGTCTCGGTTTTGTCCCGGGTTGATTTCCCTGGCTACTTGTATTGTTCGTCCTGGACTGCTGACGCGTTGACCTGGTGACCACGGACTCTTCCTTGTATCTCGGGAATGCTCGTCGCGATTCGCCTCCGCTCGCTTGTCGATGCGTTCACTCGAGGTCGCTTGTCGCGCCTTGGACTCGCAGAGAGGGAGAGAGAGGGCTTAGGGAAGCGTCACCGTTCTCAGACTAGGGTGAACAGCCCTTGCTCTCTAGGACTACGCATTTTGAGACAATGTCGCCTGTCCCTTGCTCTGTCCCGGACGGTCCCACTAGGATTTCGCTCAGTTCGCGCTGACAGTCCGGGCTAACGCCAGGAGGCTGCCTAGCAGTTCACTTCGCTTTACGCCGAGCGTGGAACGTTCCACCCGGCCTCACCCTGTTGCTTATCGTCCGTGACGTTCCTGCGCTCCACTAATGAGTTCTGCGCCGCGTTCTGCGTCGGGGCTGCCTTTGACGTTTGCTATTTTACTATGAAGTAAAATCAAAACTCTGCATTTTATATTTATTTTTTATTGAAAAATTAATTAGTTATAACATGCGTTTGGTTCGGGGCTCTTTTCGTCAATGCCCCCGCTTTTCTTAAGAATAATTGGCTTGGCTTAGAATTCACATAGCTGCGCGAGCAGCGCCGCGGCCAAAGCTTATATAACTAAATATCTATATAAATGTGTATGTGCCACTGCAGAGCAGCGGTCAATGCTTATGCATAAGTGCATATAAATTAAGATATTTCCATATATTTGGATATTTAATAATTGTTATGTGGAGCGGAGCTGCCACAGAGAAACAAAGTTGAGTTAAGTTTATTTATATTTATTGCGAGGAGGAACCGCTCGCTCGCTTCATCAAATCATAACTGAATACAGGAATATAAACTTAAAGCTAACAAAAGGTTTTCTCACAGCGGCTACGCAAATATGCTGAGTTGGCCGTCTGTGCGGATGCAAACAGTCCAATACTGGGTCAGCAAAGAACTTAGTTAACTACCCCCCCTTCAAGATTTAGGCCGCCCTCGGCCGACCCTATCTCAGCGATTACCTCCCTCAATTGGGCTGCTGATTTCTTTGCGTTAATGACTCGCTGGCAGGTGAACAAAATACAGATCAGAGCACAGCATATCGCTACTACGATTAGCGCTACCTGATACGTTTGGGTGTTGTTGACCTCTTTTCCCTCTTTCTAGATGAACCTCAAGTTACGTTCATTGAGGCGATGAAGGTAAGGGAGGCTCAAAATTTCGTGGATGCCGGTTATGTTCAACAAAGGGGAGCTTGCCACTCCCGGATTCCTTATGCGGATGTTGTCATGGTTGATGAACATGGTTCCGTTAATCACAACACGATCGTTGAATGTTATGAGATACGTGCCGCGTAAGGAAATATCCGGGCCATTGTCAACTCGAACCTGCGCTAAACAGTCATTAATTATGATAGTGCCTTCATCCACTTGAGTGACCGGGTGCAAGTCGCTCGGTTGGGTATCGCAATGCGCAACACCTCCTGCGTGAAGATCTCTGGCGCATGAGCCCTTTCACAGATAGCTGACAGAATGTGGCACCAGGTGTTGCGGTGCAGTTTTCAACTTGATGGACTCTTCCATCACATTCCGCAACGCAAATGGTGACCTTCCTACATACAAACTTTATTACAGGAAATTTTATTATAAAGTACAAGACATTGGTAGATTGAAGTATTTTTACGGACGCAACGGACAAAATATCCCTAATGGGGGTGTTGGTGGGGTCTTCCAGCCAAACTGATTCTAAATCTGCATGGTCTAATATGTTAGGGCTGACAATATCGACTTTAGCCAATGCAATGGCGAGCATTAAATTTTGCAATTCCATCATTAACATTTTATTACGAGCAAGAAGAGTTTCATATAAATGTTCGGTGTTAATTTCTGAATTTTTTGCCACGTTCAGAATTTGGTTAACTGTAACTGTTAGTTGATTAATTTGATTTTGGACTTTGTTATTTATTTCTATCTGTCTGTTATTCGAATTTACTAACTGAGATTCCGTAAATTTAATTCTTTCCAAATCATTAGCATCTGGAGTTCCCGCTACAACCTTAAGTATAGACCCTAAGAAGTCTAGACTTCTTGCCACTCTGTGGTGCACTCCTAATGAGTCCAGTAGGTCCCGAAAATGATCGATGTGCGCATTCAGAAGCATCTTCATGTGCGACCGTGGAAACAAGTCACTCATGCCGGCGGTCTCTTTCACAACTCGTCTGAATTCCGAAAGATTAGAAGAGTGGGTGACTCGTGCGTATTCCTCCCATACTAGAATGCGGCCCTCCACAACTGGAATGTACTTGGCTTGAGAAAAGTCGGTAAGGTGCGCCGACGCCAAGGATAGGGAAAGGAGGATGGCAAGACTGAACCTGCGAAATGGAATGAGTACTTTTTACTTTCTGTTTTATTCATGCAGAGGCTTCCCACCACCAAAAGGAATGTCTTAAATGATAAATCTTAGGCTCGAAGATGGGTCTTATAACTAATGCCAAGTGGCTATTTTTGCTTAATAATGAAAAAT